ATGTAAGATGTGCATGAGGCGCATGAGGCGTACGCCTCTAGCACGCCTCATGGAAAAAGCGCATGAGGCGTACGCCTCAGAGGTGTCAGTGCCTCTGGCATACGCCTTAGTGTCACGGAGCTAATCGACGAGGCCCGTGTGGCTCTCGATGAGGTTGAGAAAGCCTACAAATGCAAGCAACAACACACAAAAGGCAACAAGAAGGCACACAAATTAGACAAAAAGCAACTTGTATTGCATTAATCAATGGTAAGCACAAGCACAGTACAGTGTTGAGGGGATCTCGTGCTTAACCTTTACACACTTATGAGCTCACTCGACTACCTACCTCCCCTCAAAGAGTACGTTAAGCTTTTGGGGGAGTGACATAAGAAAACATCAAAAGAGTGGAAAATCATACTARGTAATTACAATAACRCCATTGGCGGTCCCCCCTTACAAGATACATACATAGCCCACCCATGACACACATGATGACACCAAGAAGGCACGTTGTAGGCACTCTGATGGCACGATGATAGGTGCTTGATGGCGTGGTGAAGGAGTCACTTGTGATAGAGTCCCCCACTCGATTCGATCTATGTCCTCGGAGATCGGCTTTGGCTGGTCCCTTAAAGTCACTGATGCGAAAGGAAGGTTCTTTTGCTGTTCCACAAACAGGCTGTCGTCCAAGGCCGAGGTGTATATTTTGGTGGCATGGTTGGGTTGGCCCGTTCTGTTGGTGTTTCCTATGGCTAAGTCCTTTCCTGGTGGCCTCAAGGTATGTTAATGGCTGATTCAACTTGGTTATAGGGTAGGTTTGGGCCAGGTAAGGGTCAAAATGAAGTTTTGGATTGTTGGGGTGTTGGTTCCCATGAATTTTTCCCCAAGGGTGACTCACAGGGCTACTACGTGATTCAGTCTGAGGGATGGTGCAAATGTGGTCCCTAAGCGGCTTGTGTGGCACTCGCTTTCCCCTGTGGTTGTGGCAGTAGGTAAGGGCGAACTTGGACACGGCCTTGGGTCTTCTGCTTTGCTTGACGGTTGTCGACGTGCACAAACTCTTTGCTGGAGAGGTGTAGATGGCTGGATGGCCTGCTGCCGTTGAGGTTGTTGGCTTGAGGGGCGACTTCTTCAGCTAGTGGAGTGGGGAACTTCTCTGCTTCCTCCATGTTGGCGTTGAACAAGGCTTCTTCATGAAAAAGTTGTGTAGAAACTTGCTTCCCATGAACCCTAGTAGAAGTCATAACTGGTACCATGCATGGGGAGTGCTCGTTCAAGATGCACAGAGAGTAGATATGAGGCAAGAGTGTTGATTCTGCTTGTGTCAAGAAGTCCATTCCCAAGACAACTTGGAAGTCCTCTAGGGGTACCACTGAAAGATTAATCTTGCTTGTCCAAGGCCCAACTTGGAGATCAACCCCACGAGCCATGCCTTAAATCGCCTTGGCCCTGGAGTTCATGGCCTTGAGCCAACCTGTTTCTTTCACACTGTTCAGATTGAGTCGCTTGGCCTCGGCAACCGAAATGAAGTTGTGGGAGGCCCCTGTATAAAAAAGGGCTTGAGTCGGCTTCCCGCCGAGGAGGATGTCTACATACTTCAGTCCCCTTTGGGCTTTCTTTGGCCTTCTGTGATTGACCTCTTTCTTCACCATGGCGTTAAAGAGTTGAAGGGCGCCCACTCTTGGCGCCTGCACAGACTTTTCCTCATCACTTCGCTCGTCATCGTTGAGCTTGGCGACAAGGGCATTGATCTTCTTCTTGGTTGGGTAGTTGCGATCCAGGTGATTCCCCCCACAAAGGAAGCAAGAACGTGGGGACCCAGTGGTTCTGGGCTTGTACTGGTGCTGAGGGCCTTGCTCTCCTTGTGGCTTCTTCCCATAGTCTTGTCTTGCTGGTTTGTCGAAGCTTGAGTTGTCGTACGGAGGGCGGGGGTGACTTGCTCCCCCACTCAAATTAGGGGAACACGGGATTTCTGGCTTAGGGGATTCTTCATCTGACAAGCTGGTCTCATTGAGTTGCTCCGCCACTGCCATTGCCGTGGCGAGGTCCTGTACGTTGCGGCATTGGAGCTCTAGTTCGGCCCATGGCTTCAGTCCGTCCATGAAGTTGAACAGTAGATCCTTGTCGGACATGTTCGTGATCTCCAAGGTAAGGGGTGAAAACTCTTTGACATAATCGTGGAGTGAGTTCCCATGCTGGAGTGCTTTCAACTTCTTCCGCGCCAAGTACTCCACGTTCTCTGGGTAATCAACCCATGTCTTAATGGTGCACGTACCCCGTTCAATGTCTTGGCATCGCCTGCGCCACCATAGCATAGCAATGTCAGTCAAATACATGATNTCTAGTTCGGCCCATGGCTTCAGTCCGTCCATGAAGTTGAACAGTAGATCCTTGTCGGACATGTCCGTGATCTCCAAGGTAAGGGCTGAAAACTCTTTGACGTAATCGTGGAGTGAGTCCCCATGCTTGAGTGCTTTCAACTTCTTCTGCGCCAGGTACTCCACGTTCTCTGGGTAGAATTGCCGCTTTAGTTCTCGCTTGAAATCAGCCTAGGTCTTAATGGTACAGGTACCCCGTTCAATATCTTGGCATCGCCTGTGCCACCATATCATAGCAATATCAGTCAAATACATGATTACTGTACGAATCTGAGCTAGGTCATCATCAATGCCAGCAACAAGGAAATTTTAATAAATTTGCCACAAGAAGTTGTCAAGTTCTCTAGCATCTCGGGAGCCGGCATAAGGTGTGGGCTCCCGAATCTTCACACGAGTAGGGGCTAGTGTCGGGGAGGGGCTTGGAGTGCTGGCCACTAATCTTTTGAGGAGCGTCATGTCTCCTCTTAGTTCATCCAATTGTGTTTGGAGGTCAGAAGGAGAGGCCATGGCTACTTTCATGGCCATCCATTTAGCTCTCATCTCATCAACCTGGTCTTGGATGTCGGGTCGAGATGAGCTCCCTTCTTGTTGGGATGTTGTTCCAAGGACTTCCTTGAGGGTTCTATTCAGGACGTCTTGGACCTCGTTCATAATGCCATTTAAACGGGCTTCTAGCTCCACCATGGAGCTCTCAATTGTTTCCACATTCAGGTGGATTTCTTCTACTTGGTCACGCATCTCCCCAACAGTCACTTCGCATCGATGGATGCGTGTGTCAAAGGCAGCAAGCGTGTCAACTGACTTGTCGCGCTTGCTTGTCTTGGATGTGCGACCCCTCTGGGCCTTCTCTGCAATGACTTCATCGCCTAGAGCCTCATCGGTCTCTCTAGCATGGGCAAGGCCATGCCTAATCTCGTCGGTGAGTTCCTTGTGCTTCATTGCGCCTCCACTAGTGTTGCTATGCAAGGGTCACGAGCATTGAGGAGCAACCTGCTTTGATACCAACTGTCACGGGGCTAATCGATGAGGCCCCGTGCGACGCTCGATGCGGTTGAAAAGGCCTACAAATGCAAGCAACAACACAAAGGGCAACAAGAAGGCACACAAATTAGACAAAAGGCAACTTGTATTGCATTAATCCGTGGTAAGCACAAGCACACAGTACAATGTCGAGGGGATCTTGTGCTTAACCTTTACACGCTTATGAGCTCACTCGACTACCTACCTCCCCTCAAAGAGTACGTTAAGCTTTTGGGGGAGTGACATAAGAAAACATCAAAAGAGTGGAATATCATACTAGGTAATTACAATAACGCCATTGGTGGTCCCCCCTTACAAGATACATACATAGCCCACCCATGACACACATGATGACACCAAGAAGGCACACTGTAGGCACTCTGATGGCACGATAATAGGTGCTTGATGGCGCGGTGAAGGAGTCACTTGTCACAGACTCCCCCACTCAATTCGATCTATGTCCTCGGAGATCGGCTTTGTCTGGTCCCTTAAAGTCACTGATGCGAAAGGAAGGTTCTTCTGCTGTTCCACGAACAGGCTGTCGTCCAAGGCCGAGGTGTATATTTTGGTGGCATGGTTGGGTTGGCCTGTTCTGTTGGTGTTTCCTATGGCTAAGTCCTTTCCTGGTGACCTCAAGGTATGTTAATGGCTGATTCAACTTGGTTATAGGGTAGGTTTGGCACGACGATAGGTGCTTGACGGGGCGGTGAAGGAGTCACTTGTGACATCAGGGCGTTTTGGGAGCACCTCGCTTGGTGGCGCTCCTCCAGGCATATGCCTCCCACGCCTTTTAAAAACTGCTCTTCTGTCTTCATGTTTATTTTTATTTTTATTTTTTTTAAATTTGCATTCCCATTTTTTATGTTCTACATGCTTCTATCCTTAATTTATCTGTGGTTTTGTATTTTCCTTGTTTGCCAATCGGGTATGCTTAGAGTTATAGGTGAAGCATATGGTTGATTGTGAAGTGCAAAAGATTTGAGCCTTAAGAGAAAAGGGATGCATATTGAGTTAATAAATGTAGTATGTTCGTATTGTAGAGGGTGTAACTTGGGTGGGTTGTAATTTTGTATTGGCCCCAGCCTGCACGGTTCTAATGCAGTGATGCTTCGTAAAATTTTCAAATTCTGCACCTGATACCCCTATATGGAATCATGGATGACACATAAGATTTCAACTGTTGAAATAGCAAAAAACTTTGATTTCATTGCAATTATGCATCATGGTTAGTCTTTGGCATAAATTTCTGAAGCTTGTGAAGTGAATTAATGATCTTATTTTTGGTGGCAAGTATACTTGTCTTTCTAAAAATCAATGAGAGGAGGGCGGACTTAAAATGTCTTTAGGTGTTTTCCAGCATGCATGCTCTTTTACAAAAAGATAATTTTTGAATATCGTGTGCTCTTTGCTACTTGGCATGGTTTAGATTCCAATCTACTTCTGTGACTTCTATTATGTTGTTATAATATTTAAGACAAACCATGTCAATTTATGATACTTATAATTCATGTAATGTTTTCAAGATGCTCCCATTGCTATCTTTCCTGACATGCAAGTACTGCATATGGTCTGTTGTTGTAATTCTTCTTACCTGGTTGTATGTTTTTGTGTTGTTGGCAGGATAGAAGCAAATGGTTCAAGGCACTTGTAAGTAGGAATTTGTCATTCTGTATATGACCCTTCCCACTTTTACTCTTTTGTTCATGAAATTGCTCCTCTTCTCCTGTAACTTGGCTTGTTCAATGTTCATAATGGTTTGCCAAGCTTCAGTTAATTGTTCATTTATTATTTTCAGGGAAAATGACAGTTTTTGTCTTGTTGTTATTATTTTATCAGTTTCTTCTCTTTTTATTTAGCTTGTTTATGCATATCCACTGTACTCTTGGTTCCTTGTAGAATTAAATCTGTAGTATTTTTTTTTTGGAATTCTATCTACTTGGATTGAGAAATGGTCCTAAATTGTAAGGTGAAGACCTACTTATCTTATGTTGGTGCTTAAACACAAGGATGCCACCTTTTCTGTTATCAATGTAACTGAACCATGAATCACTGAGGTTGTTCCAGTTCAGAAACCATCCAATTTGACTATGTAACCTTGGAAACATCTATTTTTGAAACTGGAAGGTAAAGTATTTCATTGAGATCAATTGGGCAAAATACAATAGGACCCCTGTACAATGAGAAATTGTACAGTAGAATAGACAGTAAAACTCAGTAAAGTCATCCCCCACCAACCAAAAAACACTATATGCTTCTTACAAAAGGAATCAAAAAAAAAAAAAGAACAAGTGTGTTTGCTTCTAAAAAGCGAGTTATTTGCCAGCCACGAAAACACCGTCCTCATAATCCTGTTGAGAATATCTTCTTTTGATTTCCACTTGCCTTAAAAAATTCTATACTTCTTTCACACCACATTGCCCATAAAATTGGAGAGGGGGGGATGCTCCTTGCTTCCTTTCCAGCCTTGCTGAGGCCTCCTAAGAACCAAGCCTCTATGAAATCCTTCACATCATCCAGGGAGCACATTTTAACTCCGAAAAGCTCCCTCAATTGTTTAGCCAGCTCTCTATCCAAACAAGGGGAGGGGAGAGAAACTATATTCTGAGCACCTTTGTAAGTGAAGGAATAGTTGGCAGAGAGATAAGAGAGCTTATCTTTTTGCTGTAGACTTTTATCTCATTAATGAATGAATTGATTCTGTTATTGATCACAAAAATAAGCTAAAATAACCGGGGGGGGGGTTATGTATTGGCCCTTGGCCCTGTCAAATAATATTTTATTAATATTAAATGATATTTTTTATAGTTTATTTTTTTATTACCATGATTGTTTTATTTTTCCACAATTTCATTATCTTTATAAATTAATACTGTTTACTATTTATCATTTTTAACATTATCATACTTTATATTTTTATTATTTTTTAAAATATCATACTCTTTTATTGATTTTCATTTACATAACTAGCGGGGACCCGTGCGATGCATGGGATTTATCAAGAAAAGTGAAATAACCAAAACTTATAACTAAGGAAAGAAATGCAATGTTGTTTAAAATAATTAAATCTTTATTTTAATAATTTGGTACAAAAATGTTTTGCTAATTCAGTAATTTAGTAATTTGGATTAATTATTCTAATATTTTTAACAAAAATAATAAATTATTGCTAATTAGTTAATAAAATAGTTACTTTTTCCATATCATTTGTTAGTGTGCTATTTTATTTATTTTTGCTTTATTAATGATTAAATATTATAATTTTTTTGTAAATATCACTTAAATATTTAAAATACTTAAATATTAGTAAATATATAAAATTAGGCTATAATCATAATTAAATAAATCTGTAGTTAAACTTCTTTAGTCATAATTAAATTAATCTAAGCCCAAACTTATGGTTTAAGACTTTGGATTAGGCTTGGATTGATCCTCATCTTGACCCAACCCACCCAACTTGCACACATCGTAACATTATTAATTGGACTGAACCAAACCGAGTGCAACCCATGCATGCATTATTTCTGGGTTTTTTTTAACTATTTTTAGATAATATTGAAGCCAATAGAGCTATGAAGGTTGGGCTACCCCCATTGTGTAGCCCAAATAACCAATGAAAATTTTGATAGTGTATTAGCAGTCTCTAAGTTTGCATGGCCAACCCTAGCCACACCTTAAGTGTAATAATATTTGTTTGGGCCTACAGGCTTGCCTATGTTAATTATAAAACTATGGTTTTTTCTAAATTAAAAATTTTATTTAATTCTAGTCTAGTATAATATATATATATATATATATATATATATAACTTGTTATCTTATAATAATATTTACCATATATGGATATAACTTCCAAGTTGAACTTATTAGGGGTTGCTTAGCTTGGCCTCTATCCGCTGGGGCTGTCATTGGACTCTGGAAGTTTGATACCCAATTAGACTTCAAATCCGATTATCCTAGATTTGGATGTTTGAACTTGCTTCTGGTTAATAATTCGATTGGATGTGGATTAAACTCCATCCAATTTGATTAAAATTCATGTTTAGTAAAAAATTATTATTTTGTATATGTAGTATAATTATTGTATACACATATTTTGTGTAATTATACATATATGCATTTATACTTTAAAATTCAAAATCCAACATAATAATAATAATCATATGCGGATGCTGATCTAGAAATTTCATAATCGGATGTTGATGTGGATGTAGCTTGATTTGATTTGAATCTAATATGTATATAACCGTACTACACACATTTTGTGTGGGCTTGGTGCATATTTTGAGTTAGACCTAACTCAAAAGAAAATAATTGCTTGAGCATTGAATTTATAGATTTAATCGGGTTAGGCTAAGTTATAAATGATTTGTTACTTTTTGTTATTAATTTTAATTATCATATTAACACTAATTTTATTAATTTCTTAATTTTTAATAGTTACTATATAAAAGCTGCTAAAATTTAATATTTATATTACCGTTAGTATTTTTTTATTAATTTTACAATCTTACCGCCTGCATTATATGTGGGCTTGGTGTTGATCTGAGCTAGACCTAGCTTAGAAGAAAATATTTTTTTGAGCCCAAGGTTGGGCTAAGTTGTAAATGGTCATCCCTAAGTATGAGTGATATGACATGATTTTAATTTATTTTTATATGGAATGCAAATGGGTTATTTTATTATTTTTCATAATTTTCATACTTTTTATTATTAATTTTAATTATCCTAATAATATTAATTATATTTATATAGAATTAAATTGTATTTTAGTTTTTTAATTTATGAACTAATTTTTTTAATTTCTTAACTTTTAATAGTTGCTAGATTAAAACTTGCTAAATTTTAATATTTTTAGTAACTTTAGTAAGTTTTAATAATTATAGTTATTAGGTTTCAAATCTTATATAGATTATTGTCGTCGTTGTTGTTGTTGTTGTATGTCGTATATCACACATTACGGATTTCTAGAGAAACCTGAACCGTTTTTGAAATGGGTCAACACAACCCGTTTAGCTTGTCTTCTTAGTACGAGTGATAAAACAGGTTCTACATTTTAAATTTTCATTAGTTTATTTTTATAGCATTTTTAATGAGTCCTCTATTTTATACAAGTCTCTTGTGTAGTGTGGGCACAATGCACAGTAAAGGTCTCAACTCATAAAAATTATCAATTTTGACAATATTATTAATTAATTAATTAATTAATTAAGAATGCATTAATTCAAAGTTTTCTAATATAATAACAAGAACAAACTATTGATCAAAAAATAACAAGAACAAACTAAACAAAATACAACATTAGAACAAGGGTTCTATTTGCAATATATCAAACCCGTGTTTAAATCATAATATTTTTTAAACTATCAATAAATATTTTTTGTTGTTTTATGTTTGATTGTTTAACCTCAACCTATTTATATTATTTGACTTATTAATGTTTTACTTTATTATGTTGTATTACTATTCTTTCTCTCTCTCTCTCTCTTAAATCTCTTTTTTAAATGTAATAATAACATGCATTAAAATAAGAGGCTTTGGAATACCAGAGGTCTCTCTCTCTCTATAATAGTGTACAACTTTATTGATATAATTAAAATAGACAATTATTACTTTTTTATATTTTTAAAACTAAAGAAAATAGGAAAAATGTAAAAAATGTTGGAAATAGGTAAATAGCTTCTCTCAAAGGAGAGATATGCTGACATGGCACGTCCTTTTTTATTATATATTTATAGATGGCTTGATGGGTAAGTTTGTAAAATGCCAATTTTTAAGTTATCACAGCATTCAGATTACCGGAAAACTGCACTATATTCAGATGTCTGCAAAAGCAGAAAAATAATTTTTCCTCTAATGCTTTTATATAATTTTCTGAGTTTTTTTTTTCTTTTCAGACTTCAGACTTCAGATTTACCGAACACCACCTAAGACTCGCTTTTCATTCCTTTTTTGTCTATTTGAACTGCCTAGGTAATGACAGCACCATCCTTACTTCTTTCTCATCTCCAAAGAGAAGAGTAAGAAGGAATATAAACCAATGTGATGGTGTGGGATCCTTTGATACATACAGGCCAGTCATCTCCAGGCCATTTTTGAGGATTAGGTTTTAGTTGAGTTTATTTTGTGGTCAGGTTTTTGTGTGTTTTCAATGTCATCCATTTCTCATTTCCTTTAGTTATTAGCAATGCTGGAGGAGATAGTCACTGGTTAATTATTGCCTCTGTGAAGCAAAGTGCATGTCGTTGAAGTTAAGAAAGCTCAATAAACACACAYGAACACGATGCAGGGCATAGCATAAATGAGATCATTATGCTGGACCTTTCTCTTTGTTTTTTATTTTTTCTTTTTTTTTTTTGATAAGAAATAGTGATAGGAAGGGAATCAAGGGAGGTAAGAAGTTCCTATGGGGTGAGTGTGTGGAAGGGAGTCGTGAGCTTCAATCAAGAATTCAGAAGTTTAGTTAAGTTTAAAGTTGGGGAAGGTCTTAGGGTAAGGTTTTGAGAAGATGAGTGGTTGGATGTGGGAAGATTATGTGAGGTGTGTCCGAGACTTTACAAATTGACAGAACATGTGTCTATTGAACAGTGTTACGAGTGGAGTGGGGAGCAAGTGATTTGGAAACCGAAGTTCAGAAGACCTTTATTGGAA